ATAACAGACCTATCATGAAGATATCTGTATATTTTCTTCATATATATTCTGTCTGTATTTTATCTTCAGATATATTCTGAGAAATAAATTTAATCATTACTTGTGTTTCCTATTTTCGTTCTTATACATTATTGATTTTTTTCTTATAATGCTTTAGAGTTTGTAAGACAGATTTCTGCATAAGCAAAGCCAGGGGCATCTGTTAGGTTTACTTATCATATATTATATACCCATTTATGTGTGTCAGTGATATTTTTACTCTAATACGTACCAGTTATATTTGAGTAACAAAATATTATTATTACTATATAAATAACTACTTCTTTTCCCCTTGCGGTTGAGTTCACGGACCGCCATTTATTACGGTGTTTATATATAGATAAAAAAGGTAAGTTATATACTAGTTGTTTATCGCGGTTTCGTCTGCGTGGAGCTAGTTACCACAAGTTGCCTTCAGAATGCCATTGAGATTCTTTTTGGATACTACTTTAGAAAATGGAATCGAATCAAAATATCTTTATTCATATAGGTTTATTACAGACTCTTCTAATAGCCCAAGTTTAGCGTAAATTTGAAGTGCTTTCGAGTTAGAACTGACAAAAATTCTTTCCAAATGAACTGTCCATGATTACAAATATCTTGATAGTTATTGGACAGGCAGGTCGTGTTCGGTACCAAGTACAATAAGGTACGGAAACAAAATGTCTATATTCATGTGGGTTTATTATAGACTCTTATGATATGTCAAATCTACCGACAGTTCGGAGTGCTTTCGAGCTAAGAAGAACAGTCATGAAACTCAGTTGCTATTCTTTCCAAACGAGGTACATGATTACAAAAATACAGATAAGTTTTTAAATTCAATTAAGGCGAGTGACCACCAACATATGCTAAACTCTTATATCCTTCGCTTCGCTATCTGCTGCTTTTCCCCATAACAAAATACCATATATTTTGTTATGGGGAAAAGCAGCGGATATAAATACAATATTTATTTTACAAAAGGGGGCCATTCGCTCCATTTATAGTGTGGGTTCCAGGGAGTCTTTACGTGAGTGCTTTAAGGAATCAAATATCCTCACCGTTGCTTCTCAATACATTTATGAAAATATCATGTATGCCAGAAAGAATATAGACAATTTCAAAAGAGTTAGTGATTGCACTAATAAAAGCTTACGCAACAATAACAAACTGATTTTATCTAAATGTCGTTTAACTAAAGTTAGTAATTCGTTTTACAACAAAATACCAGAGTCTGTTATAAATCTGCCAGAAAAAAGATTTAAATGTCATATGAAATACTTCCTTTGCAAAAAAGCTTACTATAAAATTGAAGAATTCGTTAACGATAATAATGTTTTTATAGAAAAACTTGAAATCCATAGCACTGACAATATTATCTGATTACACTAATAATGAGTGCGTAGCGATTTCTATATTGATTATCGCATGCCTCTTACTTGTTATACTGTAATTATTATGTAAAAAAAAACATCTATTCAAAAGAGCAACACACAAGTTTCTTGCTCCTTCTTCTTGTGATGAATCTGCATTCCGAATGAGTGGCAGAATCAAAATATGACTGTACAAAAGTGCTTGTAATGAGTTTATTTGAATAAAGATTATTTCTATTTCTATTTCAAATCTATAGAAAAATCTCAGGTCTGAAAGTTCTAGAAACTTCTACGTCTCCATATTACGGAGCAGGAATGTTATTTTGTTATATTTTACATCGCAACTTGAAACTACTTAATTAACCGGTGGTAGAATCATAAGTTATACATGTTTAAGAAAAACAGATTCTTTTTTAAATTCATTTAAGGAGAATGTAGTGGCCACCAGCTCATACTAAAGTAACATGTTTTCAAGTATATGAGTTTCCAACCACGATTGTTTAGAGTGATATCTGTCAGTCCGGATCAGTCGTTTAACAAGTATAGATTATGGTCAGTCAAAGGGCATGACTGTTCTGAACTGATGATTAATGGACATTATTTGTGTGGATATAAATGTTGCATAGTTGTAAAGTGATATCAGATTGGTTCTGATCTCACATAACCCTGTATATATTTATTATACACTAGCTGTACCCGCGACTTCGTCCGCGTGGAATAGTGACTTACTAAATAAAGATAGTAAGATATTTTATAAACTAACCCAAAAAAAGCCAAAGAAAAAAGCATCATCGTTTTAGCTTGAAAAATGTCGTAATTCCATACAAACTTTCATCCTCTATTTTATTTTACCTCTTTAAGGGTAACGTTTTTACTAACTTTGAACGTCCTATTTATTTATTTTTATTAATTAACAGCTTAAAAAAGAAGTTTCAAGTTAGTAAGTTGATTTAAAAATGACGATATTTATATACAAATTTTCATCTCTTCTTTCAACCCCTTTTTGACATTAAAAACTAATATAATAAATACTTAGATATTTTTAAAAATACATACATAATATACAATTCAGTTCTGCAAATCATGGACAAACACGCACCATCTCACCTTGTCAAGGTTAAGAGACAACCAGCTCCCTGGTTAACTAGTGGAATACGTATGGCCATGAGAAGACGTGACCGTGCCTTTAGGACTTTCAAAAGGGACCGTTGTGAAGAGAACTGGGGTACTTTCAAAATTGCTCGGAACCGCTGTAACTATATGGTAAGAGCTGCCAAACGCCGATATATCCACACGAATATTAAAAATTCCTCTTCGGCCAATACATGGAAGTTTCTCAAGTCACTTGGGCTGTGCAAACAGTCTAATGATTTTCCTTCAGTAGTGTCATTAAACGACTTAAACAAGCATTTTTCCTCAGTTACCACCTTGTGTGAAGTTCAAAAATCAACTACATTAGCCGAGATTACTTCGTGGCCTAAACTTCCTATAGAGGAATTTTTATTTTCACCGGTTACTGATGATGAAGTCCTCAAGATAATATCCTCTATCAAATCCAATAGTATTGGTTTTGATGATGTGAGTAGGATTATGATTATTCTCTTACTTGAACATTTGCTTCCTATCATTACTCACATCATCAATTTCTCTTTACTTACTTCCGAGTTTCCCACATCCTGGCTCAAAGCTTTTGTTCTCCCTCTTCCAAAAATATCGTCACCACAACTTTTTAAAGACTTTAGGCCTATCTCTATTTTGCCTTTCCTCTCCAAAATACTCGAAGCTGTAGTCCACCGGCAATTATCTGGCTTTATCTCCATAAACAAACTATTAAGCACCTATCAATCAGGTTTTCGCCCTGGACACAGCACTACTACTGCTCTATTGAAAGTCACTGAGGATGTAAGGGATGGAATGGAGCAATCTAAATTAACTGTTATTGTATTAGTCGACTTTTCCAATGCTTTTAACACTGTTGACCATGATATCTTACTCGCTATCCTTTCTCATCTTAGGATTTCATCATCAGTTGTTAAATGGTTTGCCTCCTATCTTCGTGGACGTCAGCAGGCGATTCGTGTCAATCAGTCACTATCGGATTGGTGCGATCTTGTCGCTGGAGTTCCCCAAGGCGGTATTTTATCTCCATTACTTTTCTCTATCTTTATTGATTTCATTACTAAAAATCTTAAATGCTCTTACCATTTGTACGCGGATGATCTTCAGTTATATTCTCAAGCTGTTGTGTCTGACCTTAGTGTTGCCATAGACCTCCTGAATATTGATCTTGAACATATTCGTAATTGGTCTTCGAGGTTTGGAGTGTCCGTTAACCCATCTAAGTGTCAGGCAATAGTTCTAGGAAGCAATCAACAACTCAACAAAATTGATACCTCCAATTTACCTCCAGTTCTTTTCAACAATCAACCAATCATATACAGTGCCCTAATCAAGAATCTTGGTTTGCTAATGGACAGCACTCTTAGCTGGAATAACTATGTAGGTGAGATAAGTCGCAAGGTCACTCTTACACTACGTAACTTATACAGACTAAAAAATTTCCTTCCTGTAAGTACCAAAATCCTCCTTGTCCAATCCTTAGTCCTCCCCACCCTTGATTATGCTGATGTGTGCTGTTCTGACATGAACGTTGATCTTCTAAATAAATTGGATCGTCTTCTGAATAATTCTATCCGTTTCATCTTTAATTTGCGTAAATTCGATCATGTCTCTTCTTTTCGTTCTCAGCTTAAATGGCTCCCTATCCGTTATCGTCGTAATATACGTATGCTATGCACACTATATTCAATTCTATACGATCCTAATTATCCTGAATACATTAGTAATAAATTTCATTTCCATGGGGACAACACCAATCGCTCTCTACGAACTTCCAGAAAATTCTTACTTCATATCCCGGCTCATTTATCCGGCTTCATCCATTACTCTTTCGCCGTTCAGGCTATCAAACTCTGGAATGACTTACCTCTTGATATCAAGACCGCCACGAGTAAAATTTCGTTTAAACAGAAATTGCGGGAACATTATTTAAATTTGTAACTTTTTTTACTGTCTTTCTACCTTTTACACATCTTTCTGTTATTTCCCTATTGCTCTCTCTATATTTATATATATATATTTTCTTACTTTCAACTTGAGGCTCTACTTATAATTTGATTATCAGATAATTATGTATTTATTTATATATTTATGTTTATATTTATACATTTATTTATGTATGTTTATTATTATTATTAATTTTTATTGAAATTTACATTTAAAATATTTTGCTTTATATTTATATATATATATATTTTTTTTTTAACATTACTCATTTATATTAGTGCACCGCCAACAATCTTTCTCTGCACCACTCATGGTTGACTGGTAGATAACGCCGCATGGTGTTAAGTCCGCCATATGTACACATTGTTTTTGTGCATTAAAGTTAAATAAATAAATAAAAATAAAACAGCTAGACTTATACAAACAATCAAACTCATATTTGTACCATGCGGGGAATCGAACCCATAAGGGCCGTCAATATGTATATATGCAATTCGCTGATATATTTCTCTACTCTGTTTGTTTCATTTAAATTTACAGAGTTCGCAATGTATCTATTGCTTGTGACTGTTGTAATATTCTCAAGTTGGATTTACGTAAGATGGCGACACGTGAAGGGATTCTGGGCTCGCCGGAATGTACCACATCATCCCCCGCATCCCATTCTTGGAGGGCTCACGTTCCTGCAAAGAGAGAACCCTGTAAGTTTAAATTAGAATTAATATTCTCACATTAATTTAAATTTGTAATGTATCTGATTCTGGAACTAGATACTGTGTAAACGGTACTACTACCATTGAGGGGAAGAATAGAATAGAAAATCATTTATTAAAATAAACTTAATTTAAGCACTTTTGAATAGTCAACATTTTTTTAAATCTACCGCTTATTCGGAAAGCAGTCTCATCACAAGAAGAATAAGAAAGAAACTTGTGTGTTGCTCTTTTAAACAAAAGAAATGGGGTTAGTAATGTGGAATGACCAATTGAATAGAGCTCAGGTTGACAGTACTAATACAAATAAATAAAAAATATTATTTATTTATTTAAATTTAACGCACTCACTTCAAAAAGTACCGGTACATTTGGCGGACTTAACACCATGCGGTATTTTCTATCAGTCAACCATAGTTAGTGCTGTGATATTGATTAGTGATTATTATATTGTAATTTAGTTTTTATCGATTCATTACTCATAAATTTTGTTTTATTAGGACAAATAAGGAATACATTTTCTCTAGACCATTCTGAAGATTTATCCAAATTCCTATTTAGATTTTGAGCAGCACCAGCAGTGGAGCAAGAAAGAAAGAAAGAAAGAAAGAAAAGTGGAGCATTCAGAAATAATAATCTGGATGTTATCAGTATTACAATGAAATCTAACACAGCTTATAGCATTTTCAATTGCTAGCGCAATAAATAAGTATAAAATAAAAATAGTTTGATATATTTAATAGTCAAATAAGAATTTATACTACATCCATACAATAATTGGTGGAGCCGTGAACGAGAATTCTCTCCGACAGTCTAACTAATATACAAACGTGTCGCCTGAATAACTAATTAATAGTTTAATGCAGTTTCGTGCAACGAGAACAGATAATATGCACACAACACAAGAATATAGAAATAGAAATAATATTTATTCAAATAAACTTAATATAAGTATTATTTAAATTATTAACCGGGTCTTAACACGAATATTTTATGGCAAATAAAGGTATTTACCTCTCTCGACGGTTCGACTAGGTTGCACTAGCCGTGGTCACGAGCTGACTGGAGTGTTAAGACCCCGTTAATAATTTAAATAATGTATATTAATATAAGTACTTTTGAATAGCCATATTTTCTTATTCTAACACTCGTTCGGAACGCAGAATTCTCACAAGAAGAATAAGCAAGAAACTTCAATACTGCTTTTTTGAAAAAATGACTTTTTAAATAAATACACATTAACAAGTGGACACATCTGAGTAACAAGACACGAGTACCACCAATAGACACGAGTAGTAATTTGGACCTCAACTCAAATCTAAGGGGCTGAAACATCGACATGGCATGTAGAGCCTTGTATTACGACGTACTCCTAAATTCAACAGCTCACCACATAAGCGTATTGTAGAATGCAAGGACAACACTTGCGACAATCAACATAGAAATCGCTATGCACTCATTCCTTCCTTCACTATATTGCATATTGGCTAGCTGTGGCTACGACTTCATCCGTGTGGAATAGTAACCTTGACCAAATAAAGAAAAAAAATTTGAATAAGTTCATCGTTCTAGCTTCACAAATTTTTTCGACGAATTTCCGACGACGTATAAACTTTCATGCCCTATTTTATTTTACTCCCTTAAGGGTAACACTCTTAAAAAATTAAATATTAACATTTGTACAACCTTTGAATGTCTACTAATATTTGTTTATATTTAATCAACAGACTAAAAAATAAGTAGACTATGTCCTTTCTCAGGATCTAGATTAACAGTTTACCAAATTTAATTTAAATCAGTTCAGTAGTTTAGGCGTGAAAGCGAGAGAGAAGTACAGATATAGTTACTTTCGCATTTTTAATATTAGTAATAAATGTAATCTGATCATAGTCTCATTTCAGACTATATGGATGAGAAAAATGTATAAAGAATTCAAAACTCCATATGTGGGAACTTGGATGTTCTGGCGACCAGCGCTCATAATCAATTCCCCAGAAATTGCACGCAGGATCCTTGTGAAAGATGCCGACGTTTTTCGAAACAGATTTCTAAGCTCTGGGAAATCTGATCCCATCGGTGGACTTAATTTGTTCACGGTTAATGTAAGTTTTATTCTATTGAGTTCGATTCTAGAGGGTAAATATAGAGAATTTTCTTGGTTTACACAAAATGGGTTACTCGTTAGTTAGGGAAGTTAGTTTGCCAATTTTTATGGTATAGAACCTGGTGGTTTCTTTGACCTCATAATTTTGATATGCATTCTATTCGTTATCAATTCTAAGGACTAAGGCATCAGGCCACCGTACTTTGTCATTTAAATACCATATCTTACCCTTAAAAATAGAACATAGATTTAGCATAGATATTTACTTGTTCGGCGGTTGAAGTAAACAGAGAATCCCACGGAAATTACTTTATAGAGTCTTATTTGCCTCATTGTGTTCTTTTACCGATAGTATGACGTGATGATGATGATGATGATGATGATGATGTCTGTTGAAATGAAAGTTTTCTGAAATTGGTTTCTCTTCCAGGAGCCTCTGTGGTCATATTTGCGACGACGTCTGACAGTTGTGTTTACAGCAGCGAAACTGCGAGCTCTTCAGAATCTCATATCAACTAAGACTGAACAATTGAGCATGAGAATCAGGAATGATATATCTCAAAACAAATTTATTGATATCAGAGTAAGTGTTGATTTAGTTATTATTATTGAGAAGTTAAGTGAAGTTTTTGAGGACGTTACAAATATACTTACTTAGTCTATCTAAGTCAAATAAAGCTTACTTGTCGTATTACATATACTACAAGTAAGAAGAAGAAGAAGTACAAAATCTTAAAGGATGTATATTACATTGGAAAGTCCATAAAAAATCATATTAACCCGTAATTACTTCGTATATTTCTTTGTTTATTACTCTTTCAGATCTTGACCAATATTTTGAAAATTTGGTAGCGTCTACGATGAACAATCGCTGTATATTTATTCTTGTTCAATGTTGTACTTAAAAGTAAGAACTAGCTTTGGCTGTGGTACTTTATATGGATAAATTATCACTTAGTATACAAAGAGGTGTCTTTCAACGACAAAGCGTTAGTCTAATTTATGTATATGTATTATTTTTCAGTCATTATATGCTGACTACACTACAGATATAATCGGAGCAGCGGCTTTTGGTGTTAATGGTGAAGCAACACTTACTGGAGAAAGTCCTTTAAGAAGTGTTACAAAAACATTTATGGAATACAATCTGCACAGAGGACTGTCCTGGTCGAGCATTTTCTTCTTTCCAGAATTGGTTGATATATTTAGGTAAGGATGGCGTAGAAATTTGAAGGTTCAAATCAAATCAAATCAAAAATAATTTATTCGTGTAGGACATTTTAAACAATTATCTTAACGTCAACTTTTTTCTAGTTTTTTAGTTGGTGTAATCCATATAACACTAATGTCATCTTCTTTGACTTTGTCTGTAATTTTTCTATCTTATCTATCTAAACCATGTTATGGTTTTATGTCCAATTTGTGTAGGTAATTAATCTTTAGTTTCGTTTTTATTCTTTTCCCTTGAAACTTTCTGTAGAAGAACTAATATTATTATGTCATATTACATGGTCTGATATCTTTCTACTAAAAGTATTTGCAATCGTATCTTACTTAATTTCAATATTTATTCCTTTTTTTTCTTTAGCTATCCCGTTATGCTTTCTGTTTTTCCTTATATTATTTAAGAACGTTCAATCATATAATTTTTTTATGTATATTGAGTTTATCTTAAATTTAGATAATTTAGTTTACTTATTTACTTTCATTAGTAAGTTTTCACTATTTTCCATTTTTTCCTATATTATTTCAGAAAGTTCAATCACGCTACTTGTTCTCGATATTTTGAGTTTGGTTTATCTAAAATTTAGATAATTTACTATTATTTTCATTGATAGGTTTTCGCTATTTCCAAAAAGTTCAACAGAATACTTTAGAAGGATTTTCCGTACAGTAGTGAAAGAAAGAGGTGGATATGAGAACAGCGCTGGTGAAAATAGAGACCTTCTGGATGCTTTACGAAAACTTAAATATGAAGCTGATCAAAAGAACGAAGGTAAGAAAGAAAGAATGAAAATATTTATTGACTACCATAGTATTCATATAACAAATAAACATCAAGACAAACATATATGTACACATACACATTTAATAGTCTATATGCGATCGAGTGTTGTTTGTGCATTGATGGCTCTTTTATTTTAGTTTCATTCTAATATGGTATATTATTTTTGGGTAATTAACGGGTAGTAAATATCCTAAAAATCAGTTTTTTCTTATCCCTATTTAAATACCTTAACTACCTAGATCTGGTTAATAGTATAAATAATGTAAATTGAACACAGAAGTTTATGTATAACAACGAACAGTGATTAGAATAGTTGTTCTTGCAATAGCATATTGTTATGCTGGTGATCACTTTATTCTCCCAAATTCGAATTTAAAAATGAATCTGAATTATTGTAAACATGTATAACATTTATTTGAAAAGAATGCGAGCTGAGTTTCTTGTCAGTTCTTCCCATCTCGAAATCATTCCGAACTGACGGTAGATTTGACATATTATCATAAAAGTCGATCCGGTCAAGATCGCTGGAAGGCATTGGATGCGAGCAGCACAGGACTGATCGTTGTGGAGATCTTTGGGGGAGGCCTTTGTTCAGCAGTGGACGTCTTCCAGGCTGAGATGATGATGACAAAGAATCTGTAATAGACCTACATGAATAAAGTTATTTTAAATTTGAATTTGAATTTCAACTATTGCATGAATGATGCAAACGTTTAATTTACAGAGATAACAGAAGATATGCTAATTGCGCAGGCAGCTATATTCCTTTTCGGTGGATTTGATACAACTGCTGTAACTCTTACGTATCTTACATTAGAACTGGCGTATAATCCTCATGTACAGGTAATAATGACTACTTCTGTATTGTATTCATAATTTAAGATTTGCGCTCTTATCGGTAGAGCTCTCGCCCCCTTCCAAGATCTTCCATCAACATTTTTAGTTGTTGATACGACTCCAACTTTTTTCTTAACCTTAAGCTTGATATAGCTGTAATTTGTCATCCCCTTCTTCTCTTTTCATTTAAATATTATAAAAGATTTTGTTTTACTCAAATTACTCAAATTAGAATATTACGGTATTAGATATGAAGCACTATGCATGATGAAATCCTATCTAAATAATAGAATGCAAGTTGTTGAAATAAATGGTGTAAAGTCTGAGGGAACTAGTATTAAAATGGGTGTTCCTCAGGGCTCTATTCTAGGTCCTTTCTTATTTTTAGTTTACATAAACGATCTTCCTTATATGGTAGAAAAGATAGCTGACATAGTTCTGTTTGCTGATGATACTTCATTAGTATTCAAAGTCAATCGACATATTGATGATATGGACGAAGTAAACGGTTCTCTCTCTTATGTTTTAAAATGGTTTACGGCAAATAATATGCTACTAAATGCAAATAAAACTAAATGTATCAAATTTACTCTCCCCCAATGTAAGGCCGGTAGATTCAAAAATCGTATTGGACAATAAATCTATTAATTTTGTTGACGATACTGTATTTCTAGGTATCACATTAGATTCCAAGTTGCAATGGGGTGCTCATATTACTAAATTGGCGAGTCGACTTAGTTCTGCCGCTTACGCGGTAAGAAGAATTAGACAATTAACAGACGTGGCAACGGCTAAACTTGTCTATTTTAGCTATTTCCATAGCATTATGTCGTATGGTATTTTGTTATGGGGCAAAGCAGCTGATATAAATACAATATTTACTTTACAAAAGAGGGCCATTCGCTCCATTTATGGTATGGGTTCCAGGGAGTCATTGCGAGAGTGTTTTAAGGAATCAAATATCCTCACCGTTGCTTCTCAATACATTTATGAAAATATCATCTATGCCAGAAGGAATATAGACAGTTTCAAAAGAGTTAGTGATTGCACTAATAAAAGCTTACGTAACAATAACAAACTGATTTTACCTAAATGTCGTTTGGCTAAAGTTAGTAATTCGTTTTATGGCAATTGCGTAAGGTTTTACAATAAAATACCAGAGTCTGTTATAAATCTGCCAGAAAAAAGATTTAAATGTCAAATAAAACAGTTCCTTTGCAAAAAAGCTTACTATAAAATTGAAGAATTCGTTAACGATAATAATGTTTTTATAGAAAAACTTTAAATCTATAGCACTGACAATATTATCTGATTACATTAATAATGAGTGCGTAGCGACTTCTATGTTGATTATCGCATGCCTCTTACTTGTTATACTGTAATTATTTATATAAAAAAAAACATCTATTAAAAAGAGCAACACACAAGTTTCTTGCTCATTCTTCTTGTGATGAATCTGCATTCCGAATGAGTGGTAGAATCAAAATATGACTATTCAAAAGTGCTTGTAATGAGTTTATTTGAATAAAGATTATTTCTATTTCTATTTCTATTTCTATTTTACTTGAAAATTAAAAGAAACTCGAATTGGAAAACGTAGAGAAAGACGCCTCGAAGCTAGGTGGGGCGACAATACGTAGGGTTGCGGGTAAAAATTAATAATAAAAATAATAATAATAAGTAAGTTGCCATCTCCTCTCCTTAAGAGGGGACATGAGAATTTTTGTATAATGATGATAATAATAATAATCTCAGGACAATTCACACACCATCTAGGCCCAAGTTAAGCTAGCTAAAGTTTGTGTTATATATATATGGTACCGTACACATAGAAACATAGAAAACACCCAGACCGATACAAACAATCATACTCATGAATACAAAATGTTTGTGCCGTGCGAGGAATCGAACCCGCGACCATCGGTCGTAAAGCGGTGTGCTAGACCACTAGACCACCGAGGTCGTCGATACTGGAAGAGAAGGGTTGAAGATTGTACCCAGATGAGCACCTTGAGAGAGCCCTATGTCCAGCAGTGGGCTGATGACGCTAATAATAACAATAATATCTCAGGACAACACGCCTAAGTTAAGCACAACTTGCGTCATGGTACTAGACACCTCATATATACATATTTTATATAGATACACATAAATAACATACATAGAAAACACACAGATCGACACAAACCATCTTTCTTTATGAGTTCACATCTTTGTTGCATGCGAGGAATCGAACCCGTGACAATAAGTAACACGATGTGCAAAACTGCAAACCACCGAGGCCATTAAATGATAAAAATATCATGCAACAATGAAGAAATCAACATAATGAAAGGCACGACGTATATACAATCGAAAAACATAATAGTAAAACATATAATTAATGTAGTACTTATTCGGAAAGGTTAAACAGATTTTTTAGATTTGTTTTTTACCTATTGTTTTCATTGATTATATTTGCACCGCCTACAGTTTCTCTGCACAGCCTGTGGTTGACTGGTAGAAAATCCCGTAAGGCGTTAAGTCCGCCATATGTACTTTTACCTTGGTATTTTGTGCATTGAAGTTATATAAATAAAATAAATTTATGAACGAGTGATAGATCACAAGAAGAATAAAGGAATACGCGAAAAAACTTACTAATATAATAACTACTTTGACTGATTGTATTTTGTTTATAAATAAAGTTAATTTTCCTGTTCTATTATATATAGGAAAAGCTTTATATCGAGCTTCAAGAAGCTAAGGAAAGAAGTGGCGGTGAAGATTTGGATGCAACCACTCTGACAGAAATAAATTACATGACTGCTGTAATAAAAGGTATGAATATTTTTTATACTATTACAGGCTGACCCCACAAACTCCGTTCCGCCTCAAAATTAAATATGTTAAAGGTTTTTGAAGTTTAGTTACGCAATAAATTTCTGAACACACCCTGTTTGACAGGTATCTGCAGTTTGTATGGGGAAATAAAATTGTTTGTTTTACTATTGCACATGCAATTTCATCATACTTTATCACCGTTTGAACCTCCACGATTCCACGATTATTTCAAGACTAAAATTAGCCAAATCGGTTCAACCATTCTCCTAAATATTAATTATAAATAAAATAAAATAGAAATTATAAACAGACTATATATATATATACTACATATTTACAAATAAATACAATAGAAGACTCTGTTTATAATTTCAAATAACAATATTCACTAAATGCATATAAAATTATATATCATAAATATATAACAGTTATATAAATATAAAATAGAACATTTTAAATGCCATTACAATTTTAAAAGATCTAATTACATTACAAAATATATTGAAGTGTAAAAAATATGTATTTAACAAATTTTTTACACACATATATTTTTTTATATGTAACCAGAATAGAATAGAATAAAAAAAACATTATTTAAATAAATTTACATTAAGCATTCATTAGAAAAACTGTCTTATCACAAAAAGAACGAGAAAGAAACTCGTGTGTTGCTCTTTTAAATAATTCTTGTAAGTTTAGATTTTTATGTGGAAATGTTTGAATACAAAATACCAACTAGCACTAACTGAGAATAATGTATTCTTCTTCAGAAACAATGAGAATATTCCCTTCAATGGGCTGGATGGACAGGATCTCATCGGTAGATTACAGGATTGATGAGAATCTCGTCATTCCAGCTGGCACTCCGGTCTACATCAATGCTGCAGGCATACATCTTGATGATGCATACCATCAGAACCCTGGAAAATTTGATCCTGATAGGTTCATGCCTAAAAATGAATTGAGTGTAACGCCTTTCACTTACTTGCCATTCGGAGAAGGACCAAGAAGTTGTATAGGTGAGAGTCATTCAGCCAGTCAGTTAGACAAACATTCAAATAGTCGTTCAGTCAGTTGATACCACAATAAAGAAACATTACATAGTCATAAAATAAAGTCGCTGTCGCTGTCTGTCCGTCCCCATGTATGCTTAATCTTTAAAACTACGCAACGGATTTTGAAACGGTTCTTTTTATTAGATAGAGTGATTCTAGAGGAAGGTTCATATCTATACATATAAATAAAATTGGAGTGTCTGTTTGTAATATTGATATAACCGTTTTTTCTACATATACCAAAATAATATTTATTACAATTTTTGTCTGTCTGTCTGTTTGTTCCGGCTAATCTCTGAAATGGATGGACCGATTTTGACAGAACTCTTCTTGGCAGGTTGCTGATGTAATAACGAGTAACTTAGGCTACTTTTATTTTAGGAAATTAAAGTTAAATTCCACGTGGACGAAGTCGCGGGAACAGCTAGTACATGTACACCCGTGCGACGCCGGTAGAGAAGTGGCTAGTAAATTATATAGCGATACCTCGTCACATCAAATAATATATACATAATGCTATAGTTTACGCTTAGGGGTGGAATTTATCAAAATCCTTTCTTAGGGGATGCTTACGTCATAGTAGCTGTATGCATGCAAAGTCTCAGCTCGATCGGTTAAAAATTGACAAAGTTTCATACAAAGTTTCATCCCCTATTTTATCCCCTTGGGGGTAGAATTAATCAAAATCCTTTCTTAGCGGATGGCTACATCATAACATGCCAAATTACAGTCCGTTTCAACCCTGCATAATTAACACAGCGCCATCTAGTTCCAAGCTAAGCAGCTTGTGCTATGGGTACTAAACAATTGATACTAATACATATGTAGATGCTTTTTTTTCTGAATACAAAAGTTTGTGCCGTGCGAGGAATCAAACCTGCGATCATCAGAAGCAAAGCCGTTTGCTAGACCACTAGACCCACAAGGCCATCGCATATAGTATAATATAATGTTATATGAAATATATTATAATTTTCAGGTAAGCGTTTCGCTTATAATACAATGCGTCGTACCGTGGCTTCTGTCGTCCTGAACTACAAGCTTATTCCGTTACCAGGGTACAACAGACCTGAAGAGTGCTCTATTGAGAAGAGAGGACTGTTCCTTGCACCAGATCGTCCTCTCTCCATACAGTTTGTACCTAGATCCTGATCTCCATGATAATTAGCATTGTCAGATCCTACTGGTGAAAAACTACGCTTAATACTTAGTAATATTATAAATGCGAAAGTAACTCTGTCTGTCTGTCTGTCTGTCTCGCTTTTGCGCCAAGATCCTGAGAAAGGACATAGGCTACGTTTTAATGCGAAAAACGGGTTGTAAGGGGTTGAAAGGGACGATGAAAGTTTAAATGCGAAAGTAACTCTGTCTGTCTGTCTGTCTCGCTTTAGCGCCAAGATCCTGAGAAAGGACATAGGCTATTCTTTAATGCGAAAAACGGGTTGTAAGGGGTTGAAAGGGACGATGAAAGTTTAAATGCGAAAGTAACTCTGTCTGTCTGTCTGTCTGTCTCGCTTTTGCGCAAAGATCCTGAGAAAGGACATAGGCTACTCTTTAATGCGAAAAACGGGTTGTAAGGGGTTCAACCCCTTACAACCCGTTTTTAGGGAAGATGAAAGTTTGTATGGAAATATTGTCATTTAAAGCTAGTAGGTTGAAACTTATTTTTAAAGCTGTTGATTAATATAAATAAATGTGACATTCAAAATTTGTAAAAATATTACCCTTAATAAAATAGGGGATGAAAGCTAGAACGATGAGTTTTTTTTCTTTGGCTTTTTTGGGTTAGATTCTGGAATAATAATCTCAGGACAATTCACACAGCGCCATCTAGACCCAAGTGAAGCTAGCTAAAGCTTGTGTTATGGGTACTAGATAACTGATACAAATACATAGATTTTGGAATGTCTTTTCTTCATTCGGTCAAGGTCACTATAACACGCGGACGAAGTCGTGGGCACAGCTAGTACTAAACTAAATACTTTAATTCCGAAATTGATAATGTTGGGACAAAAACTTTAAATGTTTTTTAACTTTAAAGCTTATTACATAGTCTGTACAGTATGATTTTGAAGTTTATATTTTAATTCACATATATTGATTACTATAATAATAAAGTAATATTCATTCATTCATAATTTAAGAGCTACGCTCTTGTCGGTGGAGCTCTTGCCACTTTCCGCGATCTTCCATCATGCTCTTTAATTCTTGATACGACACGACTCCCATTTTGTCCTCAGTTTGTTTGATGTAGCTATTCCTTGGTCTTCCCCTCCCCCTCTTTCCTTCTATTTTCCCCTCAATAATAATTTTCATGAAATCATCGCGCCGTATCTAGTGTCCTAACATTTTTCCTCGTCTATTTTCTATGGTGTTCAATATTTGCCTTTTTTCTTTTACCCTGTGTAGTACTTCTTCGTTTGTTACTTTATCCTTCCAGCTAATTCTTTCCATCCTTCTCCAACACCACATTTCAAAAGCCTCCAGTTTGTCTCTTTCCTTTTTATTTAATGTCCACGTCTCACACGCATACAAGGCTATACTTCAGATATAAAAGTAATATTATATAGTCAAATTATTTATTTTCTTCTTTCTAATAAATAAACCCTAAAAATAGTTTGGTCAAAGGTAAAAATGTATATTATCCGAGTATAATGTAAAATCTGAATATTTTAAAATAGATATTCCCTATAATATAAACCGAGGCAAGGCACTAGTATAAATTGACAGATAAAGAGAAAATATTTATATATTAATACTTAAATTATTGATTTGCCAAAATGTTTAGGCAGAACTAGTGTCCATCTATACATATAAATAAAATTGGAGTGTCTGTTTGTAATATTGAAATAACCGTTTTTTACAACATGCAAATGAATATAAATACGGTACATACGCCAAAATAACATTTTTAACAATTTCTGTCTGTCTGTCTTTTTGTTTCGGCTAATCTTTGATATACATATAAATAAAATTGGAGTGTCTGTTTGTAATATTGAAGTAACCGTTTTTTACTACATGCATATGAATATAAATACGGTACATACACCAAAATAACATTTTTTACAATTTTTTTCTGTCTGTCTGTTTGTTCTGGCTAATCTCTGAAATGGCTGGGCCGATTTTGACGGGACTTTTATTGGCAGGTAGCTAATGTCATAAGGAGTAACTTAGGCTACTTCCATTTTAGAAAAATAAAGTTAAATTCCACGCGGACGAAGTCGCGGGAATAGCTAGTTTAACCATAATTTTATGTATAAAGTTTCTTCTCATTTCTAATTAGTCTTTATCCAATTTATGTTTGACTGTCCAATTTATGATCTAATCCTGAAGTTTCTTTTTCCAATGAGAACTCTTTAGTAAAGGCTTGAATAGACATTACAGTTTAATTAAACTCCTTCATTAGTTATAAAAGTAAATTGTTTTCTATCTATAAACCAATAAGAGAGATTTAACTATAGATTGAAATATAGAATTCGGAAGTCGGTTAGCAAATATCTAACCATCGTCTTAAATGAGGGGATGTTACAATATCAAATTTAATTAATTTGTTTTTCTTATATTTTATGAAATATTTTTTTCATAAAGTAATGATAATAGTAATAATCGCAGGACAATTCATACAGCGCCATCTAGTTAAGTTAGATAAAGCTTGTGGAATGTGTGTTAGATTACTGATACAAATAGATAGATATGTGTTTTTTTGTAAATACATACATATAATACATAGAAAACACCCAGATACAAACAATCATACTCATGAATACAAATGTTTGTACTGTGCGAGGAGTCGAACCCACGACCGTAAACCGCTTAGATCCGTGAAGTCATATATGGAACATGTTATTATTTTTTTCAATCTTTGATGGTATATATAATATATTTATAATTATGTACAAGGAACATCAACTTTTGAATTTAGTCATCCAAAAGATTTATATAGTATAGTATAGTATAGTAATAAAATAAAGACGAAACTTTGTATGTATGGATCTTTGTTGCTCTTTTATTCAAAAACTACTGAACGGATTGTGATGAAACTTTACAGTAATATAGACTTTATTTTTTATTTATATTTATATACTGAAATTTAACGCGCGTGAAACTGTGGGCACAGCTAGTATTATAAACGCGAAAGTTTGTGAGTATGGATGGATGTTTATTTTTTTTTTGATGATAATGGATCAACCGCTTGCGCTAACGATTTACACTGGCGGGGCACCAGTGGAGGATGATAAGATGAGCATGAGGTCAGGTTAGTTAGCCCATCGTGACAAATTCACCAAGAATTTATCACGATGGTTTCCAAGGGGAACCGCGTGGAGGTCAACCTGACATTGCACATTGCTAGCAATAAGATCATCAATCCACATTACTAACAATCCTCTTTCCCCTGATGGATGTTTGTTACTCTTTCACAAAAACTACCAATCGGATTTTGGTTGAAATTACATCAGTATAACATATCATCATCATCATAATCATCGCAGCCAGGAAGACGTTCACAGCTGGACATAGGCCTCCCCAAAGATCTCCACGACGATCGTTCCCAAATGGATTTACACTCAAGGACATATAGACTAAAATTACATCAGTATAACATATCATCATCATCATATAATAGAATTAGTGCTAATTGGTGGTTTGTATTCACACACTTAAACTTAAAAATGTAAAGTAATAATAAAATTATTTAAAAGAGCAACACGCAAGTTTCTTGCTCGTTCTTCTTGTGATGAGACAGCTTTCCGAACGAGCGGTAGATTAAAAAATGTAATGACTATTCAAAAGTGCTTCAATGTAAGTTTATTTGAATAAATGATTTTCTATTCTATTCTATTCATCATCACCGCAGCCAGGAAGACGTTCACTGCTGGACATAGGCCTCCCCCAAAGATCTCCACGACGATCGTTCCCAAATGGATTTACACTCAAGGTATAAATTTCACACAGATAAAACCGCGGGCACAGCTACTATAGTATACACATAGCAATATCTACATGCATTCCTCATTAGTGCTTTGATTGGTCATTATCGTGTCTAGTGTGGTTGGTATATAAACTCGCTGCCTGGCACGATATATAGCACAATCTACTCCCTACCAGCAGATTAATGGACAATTAACTTTCAGGTACCTACAACTACGACTAACATTGTAACTGTTAATTTAATATGTACAACATTTATTTGAAAAGAGTACTTGAAAGTAATTTGTTGGCAAGTAGCAGAGTTGACATAAGTAAATAAATAGTTACTTGAGTAACACAAAATTCACAGGGCATACTGATAATTAAAAGTCTCAATTGAGCCTGAATAATCCCATAAATGTAATAAAGTATTGAATCCTCAATATGACTTTGATACGCTAACTTCTAATAAATATTCGCTGACACTGTAAATAAGCATCCAAATTTCGGTTAAGACTTCTTAAGTCTTTCTTAAGCCAAAAATGCAGAAAAATGCAAATTTCGGTTAGAAGAAGTCTTTCTTAAAAATGTCTTAACCGAAATTTGGGTCTTTCTTAAGCAAAAATGCACCCAAATTTCGGTTAAGACTTAAGATTTTATTCCAAATATTTAATTCTTAGAAGAAGTCTTTCTACCAAAAATGCAACCCAAATTTCGGTTAAGACTGGCCCATATTATAAATACCCCAAATTTCGGTTATAGACTAACATACATAAGAAATAATAATCAAATATGTAAAATAAAATTGTCTGTGTGCTCACGGCACTGAAGAAGTCAATCTGCCACGGTAGAAGAAGTCTTTCTTAAGTCAAAAATGATCCAAATTTCGAAGACTTAATAAGTATCATAATACTTAAACGTAACTAATAATAATTTTTCTTAGCATCCAAATTTCGGTTAATACTTCTTAGAAGAAGTCTTTCTTAAGCCAAAAATGCATCCAAATTTCGGTTAATACTTCTTAGAAGAAGTCTTTCTTAAGCCAAAAATGCATCCAAATTTCGGTTAAGACTTCTTAAGTTTTTCTTAAGCCAAAAAAGCTTGTGTTATGGGTACTAGACAACTGATACAAATACATAAATATATTTTTTTTGTATGATATTTTTTTTTGTTTTTGTACTCGAAAAGTAAAATGGGTATAGTAAATCACTAAGTCATAGGTACTGAAAATCTTGTAAAATACATTCATATCGC